ATTGATTATACCTGGCACACTCAAGTACAGTCACTGAATTGTACACAACCGCTATATATGGGATATATTATGAATTACATCAGTATTGATGTCTATAAACCCTTTCCACAGATTATGGATATTTGGAAAGTATTTGATAGAAATGTTTGGTTTTGTATTATAACTACACTTTTAGTTATGATTATACTGGACACTTTAATTAATTTTATAAATAATTTTAAAATTTCAATTGAATTATTGCTAAACAAGTTTTGGATTTATTTTAAGCCACTTTTGTTGATCGGACAAAGTTTAAGTGTTTGTAATTATTTGTATATATTATGGGTCGTATCGGTCACACCGGTCGTACGTATCCTACACAACGACTTAACGGCGCAAATGGTTAACAGGGATGTCATGAATGTGGACACAATCGACGACTTATTTGATGATAGGCTTGAGGTTTATGCCGATTATTATTTGTATTCAGACTTTCAATCGCCTGAATATTACTCGCAATTTGAGCCCACATTTCAATATAAATTCAAACAAATGCTACAACGGTTACGCCAAATGGACAGCCAGCAACTATTATTCAATATTATTGAAAAGCAAACGAGTTTCTATGAAATGTTTAAAAATATTGCATTTATCACAAACACAGTATTTATGAGCACGGTCATATCATTTTTATCACGACTCGTGCCCCACTACCATATCGGTCGACCAGATTTGCCTATTTATTTGACACCACTATGTTATGCACCGGACTTTCAATACACAGATCAGGCCTATGTTATGTGAGTTTTAAAACATATTTCTTTGTATAATATAAATACAGTAGAAATATTATTATTATTATTATGTAATAGTTTTCAACAACTATTTGAGGCATCCATTTCCCAACACTCGGATAATTTATTAGCCGACTATTACTATCAGGTTTATCGTAAAATTATTGATGGGAGTGGTATTCTAGGGGACAGACATCTGCATGACTTATACATCGATCCCATCTCCATATACGAACCATTGGCTTATAACACATTTAAATCTCTTTTCCTATTTATTGGCTATTGTTTCACATTTGCATTGATTGTATTGTTTTCAGAAATCTTATACAAAACATGTTTTATAATAAGATTATCACTATTTATGTAATTTACTTTAAATAATTCTAAACACCAAACAATTACCACTTTCATAAAATCATAATTCATGCACTGCATAATATTTTAGTAATACAAGGTTAATTTTCTAGTTATAACGTCAATAAAAAATAAATTATTTATTAAATGCTACATAAGTTGCAAGAAATGTATGCAACAAACTATATTATTTTACGATATCGTCTATAATGGCGGCAGTGTGTCAAGGTATTGGTTAATGTCAATATTAGTCAATTAAATCTTAAACATGTTTATCAGACTTTTGTTTTGTATTTGACTTTGTTTACTAGAGTTACGAGACTTTGTTTATCACAATTTCAGACTGTTTTGTATTTGAATTCTCAATTTATTCAAATTAATTTCATTCATATTGTATTTTAATTAGATTTTCAAAATTATAATGATAATAATTTAATACATATTTGTTTAATGTATATTAAATTATTAAAATATGAATTGATTTATCTTTGACCGGTAGCAATATGTGCCATATGTATTTTATACTGAATAATAAATTATTTATAAAATGACTTTACTGTTAGAATTAATCTAAAACATGTTTAAAATGTTATAATTTTTAAAAAATTAAAAATCACAAAATTATATTATAATTGTAAAAACAATGACTTCAATCCGAGAATTAATATATATATTTGGCAAACCATTTGATTACATAGACTCGCATTCCTATGGATTGTGGCATAAATTCATTGAATCCGTGAATATGTCTTATATTGACTGCGATTTATACCTCAAATCCCGTGAATTACCGATTCATGACAATGGCTTTTATTTGATGGCATACGAGGACCAGGTATTCAGTAAACAATAATTTATTATAATTAATCAAATTTTAAACTTAATTATTTCAGAAAGAGTTTTTAGATATAAATGGTACAAAAAGGTCGGCGTATTTTAATTCACTAGTAGTTCCTGTATTAGTCCACATTGGAAAGTATGTCAACAAAAGGTATTTTTATCAAGATTAAAATTTTTGTATAACCTACCAAAACTTGCACATTACTTGTATTTAGTGTCCATCTGTATGTAATGGAGTGCTCGATATGGGCTGAGCCACAAAATGTATCAAATCATGAAATGGTTAGACAGGGATTAATCACATCATTAGATACTACTTTAATTGATTATACCTGGCACACTCAAGTACTGTCACTGAATTGTACACAACCGCTATATATGGGATATCTTATGAATTACATCAGTATTGATGTCTATAAACCCTTTCCACAGATTATGGATATCTGGAAAGTATTTGATAGAAATGTTTGGTTTTGTTTTATCATTGCGTTTATAGCAATCATTATAACCGATAAAGTGGTTAATAAAGCAAATAATAATAATAAATCCATAATAGATAAAATTAGGATTTATTTTAAATCAGTTTTACTAATGGGAGATAACTTAGGATTTCGTAATTATTTGTATTTATTATGGGTTTTATCGATCACACCATTAGTACATATCCTACAAAACGACTTAACGGCGCAAATGGTGGACAGGGATGTTATGAATGTGGAAACAATTGATGATTTAATTGATGACAGACTCGAGGTTTATGCCGATTATTATTTGTATACAGACTTTCAATCCCCTGAATATTACTCGCAATTTGAGCCCACATTTCAATATAAATTCAAACAAATGCTACAACGGTTACGCCAAATG